CTGGCAGTGCAGTGGCGTGGATATAATAGTTGACCCAGTATTTCCTGGGGTGAAATATTGGCCTTTTGAAAGAATGTGTCCACACACGTATATTACAATATATCGCTTGGCAGGTCGCCACTTCGGCTGCGTAGTTGCTTGTCCATAAACTATTCTCCTCGGTCATGCCGAGTCATGCCCTGTGCTTGTGTCCGCCTGCCCTTGTTGTTAGGCAGGTAAAGGCAATAAACGCCCCGTGTTTGTGTGTGTGTGTGATTCACACTTTGAATTACTAACGACTTGCACCTTTGAACGGCAGTAACACGGGGACATTAATAATTAAATTCGTTTATGGACTTCTAAGTGTGCCCCGTAGCTTCTTGCGTCTTCAGCCCCCCCCCCCACTCCTCTGCACGCCCCCCCCCCCAATAATTTGTACAATGATGACGATCGCGTTCGAACTGGAAGCCAAAAGAAACGCGCACGGCGAAAAAGCCGTCGAGAAAGATCGCCTTGGGGCGATTGCTGTATAAGCGAGCTCCTGTTCGGGCTCACACGCCCTGCCCTTATTTTATTTTTTGAAGGCTCCCTAATGTCAGCTGCGGTGAGAATGTTGAGCTCTGGCAGCAGTCGTGGTTCTCATCCTCTGCGTTAACGGCCGTGCCTCCCGCACTTCACAAGAAAGGGCCACCGCACACCCCCCTAACGTGTTTAACCTTTAACTCGCCGTTGGGTCAAGTGCTGTACGTGAACGCCTATTCAGGCCGACACGAGGCACGCGTTATCGCAACAACGACGACGACAATAGCCGCCATTCGCTGCTAACTGGCGGTGACGTCGCCACGTGAGCTTCAAGAGGGTCGCGGGACAGAGACCCTCCAGGAGCTGTGAGTTGACCGCCCGAGATGACCGTCAGATGCTTCCACCTGTGGCACCTCTACCGCTGTGCCTATCCTTCCTACAAAGGAAAAATGGGGGTGGGGGGGTGGGTGGCATCGCTACATCCTCCGTTCATTGTCGCCTGCACGGCGCATTGCACGTGAACGCTCCTTCCTGCGTGCGGCGTTCGCCACGGCTGCGCACGCGCGCACAAAGTAGTGTGTGACATCCGTTCTTCTGTGCACGCGTGGACGGATGGCTTCCCGATAGGCGACGTGCAGTGATTGTGTAACCCGGCGCCGGCACAATGCTTCTCCTTTCACCGCCAGGAACTATTCGACGCAGTGCGGTCCGCCTATTCAGGTTGCCTTGCCTTTTGTCGGATTGCACGCGTGCACAGATTTGTTGGTGCTCGTGTGCCGGCAAGCGTCGAGAGTTCCAGCGTGGTTTGTCCGCTGCTGGATGACAGCCTTCATTCCCAGCTCACGCTTTTCTTACCGCGATTCCACGATGCAGCGATCCACCGCAGAACTCCCCCCCCCCTCCCTCCCCCTGACCCCATCTGCAAGCAAGGGGGATGCTCTCGGGATGCCGTGCGTTCCCTGGCCCGCCCGCTGCGGCGTCCGTTCCGGTGCCGCGACGCGTCCTGCCAGAGAGGCCCTGCTCACTTTTTTCTCTCTCTCTTGTCTCGCAACGTAGTCCCAAGCCTGCAACCAATCCCCATGCTTAATGTGACGGGGGTGGGGAGGGTCAGCTGGGCCGTTTGCATTGTCGCGGAGAACACTTGGCTGTCTGGCTCACTGGTTCGCTGGCTCGCTAGCTCGTTGGCTCGCTGGCTCGCTGGCTCCCTCGTGCCTCCTTTTAAAGCGACCGAGCTGCCGGGCCGCGGTGGACTGCCGAGCCAGGCCCGGGAACAGCGAAGGCCCTTCGTGGTGAATGGCGGTTGTTGTTCTTGTTGGGCAAAATCCTTCATTGGCCGCATTTTATATTTATACATTTTTTACCGCCCTCCCCAGTCCTGGCCACATCTGCGTTTTTAGAAAATGAAAAATGTTGCCTGTGGGATATATTAAATGCAATTGGAGTTGCTTTATTGATCTTTCCACTTATGAGTTTCTGTCTCTCAATTTTTTTGTTTGCCCTGAAGGGTCAAGTATTTCCAGAGAAAGCTGTTTGTGAAAATCTGGTTTTGCCACTTGCGAAATCCCCCCCCCTCCCCCCGCTTGCGTAAAACAATGCTCACATCCCCCCCCTCACCGATTGTTGAGCCAAGGAGTCGCAGAGGTGGTTCGGCTCGTGCGGCCGCCCCTGTTAATACCGCGCGCGGTCTGTGGCCTTCTTCAAGGTTCCCGTGACGTCATTCGCAAGCGCAAGGGGGCATCGTGTAGCTGGTGGCGGGGGGCTGCAGGGGGAGAGTTGTCATCTCGGGGGGGGGGTCACAGTTCAAATTGTGTCGTATTGGGAAAAATGATACCGCACATTACTCGCTTGGGATTATATAACTCTATATATCTAGCGGTGGTCGCTCACCTACTCCGAACACTTGGCAGGACCCTCCTGAAAGGAGGGTCTTGAGACCCGGTGTGGTTCTTCTGTGGAAATAAGCGGAATGATAATCTTAAAAAATACCAAAAATCTTTATTTAAATTATTTGAAATTGTGTTGACATTGTGGTACTGATGGGCGACAATGTGACGCATTTCACCGAGCAGCGCTTATGATAATAATAACAACAACAGGATATTAACCTGGCTTATTCAGCAACCAGCACTGGTGAAGTATGGTCAACTAATCCCCATAATCGATTGCAGTGTTGGAAAGTCCCTATCCGGCAGTAGAATATGGCAGAGGGTTGTGTATCCTGTTATCTAATGTTAATATATAATGTTACGTAATATATATTGTGAAGATAATTGCAGGTTATATAAACCCAGAGCTGTCAACCCATGCGGTTTAACCCCGTATTCTTGTACAGGAAGGAAATTGAGTGTCCAGGGCCATACGGCGAACACCCGCGTCAACACGGGAAACAAAAAAATAATGATACGGCCAAATAAAAAAAGTTGTGGGACGGAATTTTTTTTTTACACTCTGGAGAGTAGCGATCCCCGTAGCAGCTGACAAATTTAATCTGAAATTAAGACGCTCTCGGTACAGATTGTGCGCACAAGCTACATCTCCAAATCCCGTTTTACAAACACAAGCCACACTACAGCACAGCGACAAGCGTTACCTCCTGCAGCGAAGTTAGCGATGCCGTGGTGCGTTTACAACATGAGTGTGTGCGTTTACAACATGAGTGTGTGCGTTCACATCAAGCAGGCGGCAGCATCCGCATACAGGGTCACAGAAGGTAGCATAATAATTAGCTCGTGGTGTCAAAATGAATACGTAAAATGGTTTTTGTTTAGTAACGTAATTTTCGTCTTTGTGTTTCTCCCTCGTGATGGGACTTTGTAGGATGAACATTGAGACTTATAAGGGCACTGGGTGACCAATAAGGTCTGAATTGGTTTGTAATAGGGGAGGCACTGATAAGTGGTTGCCAGGTATGTAAACCCGAGCTTGGGAAATGCAAGAAGTTAGTGGATCATGGGCGAGTGCGATTGCGAACCCGTTCGCGCGGATTCGTTTCTGTTCGTGCGGTTGGGTTATCTCCGTTTTTCTCCCGCACGGAGCCAATTTATTTATCGTGGGCGGCATCTTCGTGGTGCATTCTACCCACCCGTGTCCCACTGGCAGGGGGGACACCCTTACCGTAAGAGAGTCTACTGAGAGCTCTGTAGAACCACGTCAGAAATGGCACCTCGACCCAACTCTTTCACACCGACCCAATACGATCTCGGGAGAGGTGGACGTACCCACATTTCACCCCACCGCCGCCGACGCGGAGCCTGGTGATGGACCGAGCGAACGTGTACGGGCACTTGGCTGATTAATGCAGGACGCTCATAACGAAGAGTCATGAGACTCAGCGATGCTTTCCCGAATATAAAAAAATGGCGTTATTATTATAATTTAGTTAGTGTTATTATTATAATTTAGTTAGTGTTTGCTATGGGGGGTGGGGGGGTGGCGTTGCAAATGGAATACTTTATATGGTCGCACTCATTACACACAAAGTGCTTGCCATAAATGAACCACAATACCTTACTGATCTCGTTAAGGAGCATAAACCATCATCACTCGAACTGCAGTCACCCTCGCAGCGACTTTTGGCTAGCCTGTCGAACGAAGATGGTCGCCGCATCCTGCGCTTTCAGATGCGCGCTTCTGCGGCCGTCTGGAACCATCCTTCCGATATTAGGAAACCACTGGGGCTATGCAGTTTTAAATCGTCGATTGAAAATTCATTTTTTTTATAAATGCTTTTTGCGTTTCGTTTGTTGTCCTTCCCCCGCGCCTCCTATGAGCACGGCTGGCTTCGTACAGTGCGAAAATAAGTTTGACATACATGCATACATACAAATACAACCGGTCAACCGACTTGACTGAGCGATGCCATCTGCCCATGGGGACCATCATAAGACCTGCGCTCATTCATGCCAATAGCAACCCACAACGCTCTACATAAATTATGTGTAAGGACCAGATCCCATATACGCGGTGCGAAATAAGTTCGACGTACATACATATGTTACGGCTATACGAATGGTAACTTCGTTTTTGTGGCATCGGGCTGGGACTGAGCGAGCGAGTGGTGTGTTCCGTGTTCGCTGGCACGGTGTGTAAGCAGTTCACCGTATATACATACATACGTACATTAAGGCTTTGTGGCATCGGGCTGGGACTGAGTGAGTGAGTGGTGTGTTCCGTGTTCGCTGGCACGGTGTGTAAGCAGTTCACCGTATATACATACATACGTACATTAAGGCTTTGTGGCATCGGGCTGGGACTGAGCGAGCGAGTGGTGTGTTCCGTGTTCGCTGGCACGGTGTGTAAGCAGTTCACCGTATATACATACATACGTACATTAAGGCTTTGTGGCATCGGGCTGGGACTGAGCGAGCGAGTGGTGTGTTCCGTGTTCGCTGGCACGGTGTGAAAGCAGTTCACCGTACATACATACGTACGTTAAGGCTTCGTGGCATCGGGCTGGGACTGAGCGAACGAGCGGTGCGTTCCGTGTTCGCTGGCGGTAGGTGCGCCCGCGGGACATCGTGCGGATCGTGCGCGGGCGGCTGGAGGAGCGGGGCATCGCGGTGCGCGACGTGCGCCTCAACGGCTCAGCCGCCAGCCATGTGCTCCACCACGACAGCGGCCTCAGCTACAAGGACCTGGACCTCATCTTCGGCGTGAGCCTCACGGGGGAAGCCGAGTTCCAGCTCGTCAAGGTGCACGTCACGCCACGTCACCCCCCACCACCACCCCGGCAGTGATGCGGCGATCCGTTGTGTTTCCCCGTCGCACGCATGTGATTGAATTTTTTCTTCCCACGTGCTCCTCCCACACATATAACGCTGATTAATTGGCCCGATACCAACTCAATATGTTGAGGAGTGCAGAGCTTGGGCAGTTGTTAGTAGCGCCTGCTCGGCATCGCATCACTGCTGCTGCCTTCCCGCTCATCGGTATCAGCCCCTCTCTCTTTCTCGCTACGAGAGCGAGTTGGGATACTGTGCAGCAGTGGTGCGTTACAAGTTGACTCTTGATATTAAGACCATTCTCCACGTGTGCACCTGTGTCTGTGTGCCATTGTGTATGTGCTGCAGCCCGTTATTATTTTGTAATTAATGGATTAATTAAAAACACATTTTCGTTGTTGCAAGTCTATTTAATCCAGCAGTCATTATGGGGCCCGCTATGCATCGTTACACCCCAGTGCCCTTGCCTCTTCCGTGTTTTGATGAGAGTGCCAGACTAACGCTACCACTGTACCCTCCCCTACCCACCACATGCACTACCACCACCACCACCTTCATCATCACTAACAATACCACCACCATCGCCACCACCTGCAAACCTTGTCCACCACCACTATTCTAACATTCGCCGTCAATTATCACCACCTCTATTAACATCGCTACCACCACCGCCACCTTCATCACCACCATCAACCACCGCAACCAACCCGACCCACCACCACCACCAAAACGCCTACCGCCCCCCCCCCCATCTACCGTCGCCGCCTCCGCCGCGCACAGGAAGTGGTCCTGGACTGCCTGTTGGACTTCCTGCCCGAGGGCGTGAGCAAGGAGAAGATCGGGCCGCAGACGCTGAAAGAGGCGTACGTCCAGAAGATGGTGAAGGTGTGCAACGACACGGACCGCTGGAGCCTCATCTCGCTCTCCAACAATAGCGGCAAGAACGTGGAGCTCAAGTTCGTCGACTCGCTGCGGCGGCAGTTCGAGTTCAGCGTCGACTCGTTCCAGATCGTCCTCGACTCGCTGCTGCTCTTCTACGAATGCTCCGAGCACGCCATGTCGGAGCGCTTCCACCCGAGCGTGCTCGGCGAGAGCATGTACGGCGACTTCGGCGAGGCGCTGGAGCACCTGCGCGGCAGGCTCATCGCCACACGCAACCCCGAGGAGATCCGAGGTGCGCGCTCGTGTCTGCGTGTGTGCGCGTGTCTGCGTGTGTGCATACGCACACGTGGGTTGTGGTAGTGTAGCGTTTGGCGCGTCGTGCTACCAACCCGGAAATCTCTGCTCGCGGCCGATGCCAGTGACGATTATCTGAACTGGGCCTGGGCCTCCCCTAGGTCGTCTCGGCCTCAAATGAGTACCTGGTGCGGTGTGTGAATATCGCCACTGGGGAGACAGGCGGCCAGGTATCATTTTGGCAGCACCACCAACCCCGTGTGCCATCCCGGCCTTCATAGTTGTTTGCTAATGGCACTTGCCCCGAACGTGCTTGCGAAGTGTATACAGCGGGGTGAGTGGGTTCCTGTTTGTGCGCGCGTACATCTGTGCCCGCGTGCCTGCGTGCGTTCACGCATGAGCACCGTGCGATCCACAACGCTTTAAGCCTGCCCGCGAAAACTGCCTGGCCCCGAGCCTAGCGATAAACAATGTAGGCCGCGACCTCGTCATTAATAACGCTGCTCCTGCTCCAACCAAGCCGTGTCGAGTTTGTCCGACCACCACCGCCAGTGAAAACCGCACGGGGTTGGTGGGCGAGGGGAGGAGGGAGTCCCCCCCCCCGGCGTCACTACGCCATTAGTTTCCTCCGAGCTCTCTGCGTCACGCTGGCCCACGTGCGCGCGTTTGTCCACGCATCGTCCACGCGGCGACGCGTTGGAGTCAACGGCGGCGCTCTGGTTTCTAACTCTGGACAAACGAAGCGGTTAGCCCCGCGGGGAACATTGAGGGGCGCGTGCGACCGCCTCCCCCATCGTTGACTGGACATCTGTGAACCTTGGCTGGACAGAAGGTCTAGTCAACGGGGCTAACGGCGGCTGTAAGTTCACAGATTTCCAGCCAAAACAACTATTTAAACTGTGTTTTTTATTTTACCAGGTTATCAGGCCCACTGAGCTGTATAGCTCTTTTTCAGATGCCACCTGGTCACAAAGGATAGCTTATCATGTGGAAACGTATAGAAGCCATATACTATAAAACGCCCATTGATTCTAAATGTGGAGGGCCCGGAGAAAATGTACAAGTCATTTTGGATCTAACCTTGAACCTCCTGTATACCAGGTGAGGGAATGAACATCTCGCCACCGTGGCACCGACTGGACATCTGTGAAAGAGAGCTTCGCAGCTAACCGGATTCCTTCATAATAAATAAATAGTCTGTTTCCGAGTGACGCCACCCATCGGAGTGAGCGGGTTGGCCCAAGCCCTAGGCTCAATGAGGGATGAGTGTGCTGGGGGGGGGGGGGGGGTGTAGTTGACTCGGTACGAATTCGCGTTGGAATTTTCACCGTGATTTTTATATTTACAATAAACCCATATTTATTCGACACACATGGGGCTCTGGTCTTGCCGAATTATCCAATATTCCGAACTATTTACAATCGTACTCCCCAGTGCCTCCTGCCCCAATAAAAAAAAAAATCCAAATTTGTTTTCCAAACTCTTCACACACCCTGCCTCAATTCTATCCAAAACTTTGGATTTGTCTCGCAGACTAAGGGATTTATACTTCAGACCCCTTCCATTTATTCTTGATGTAGGCTTAGAGGATTGCCTTGCACAGTGTGCATAAGCAAAGTAAAGTCCATAGCAACAGGGTCTGCTCTAACGCTCACCACGCGCGCTGCCACTAGACTGAGTCGTCGTTTTGGCCGTGGTGCACAGCGTTGCTCCGCGTGTATGCAGAAATTGGACAGTTCGTTCAGGGAAAATTCGGCTTGTCACCAATAATAGACAGTATATGCCGAAAATGCAGCCGTGCCGAATTATCCCCAATTACGAATGATCAAATTAGCGAAATAACGAGGTTTTGCTGTACATGCTGCACACGTGTGTGCCGCCTACGTTACGGTCTTGAGTTATAATGGTCGTGGTGATTCGCTGTTAGATGTTTTTGTATGTCCGATGGCGATTTTTTTTTTGTAGGTCTTTTTCGCGCGCGACAGAAGTTCAACATCATACGAAAATCGGTGCGCAGCTGAAGCATTAGTCGATTGGCACGTTTGTTAAACTTTATTAATCTGCTGTGTCGGTCGTAGGAGGGTTTACGATACCCACGCCCGACCGCCTTTTGTTTTCTCTCCATTCGCGATGTTTACAAACCACATGAGGTACTCTGTTGAGGCAGAGTTGATCTAGCCGGAGGCCTGGGACTGCTTCCGATAATCGTCATTGGTGTCGGCCGTGAGCGGGAATCGAACTCGGGTGGCGTGCCGGGTTCGGAGCGCAAATTGAGTTGGCCCTCCTGAATAACAAATCTTGCGGCTCCGTGAGGCCCTGCTGGGTAAATTCGGCGTTAATGGTAACAGACTTGCCGACGTTACTACGAGGCGTCGGGGAAATAAGTCGCGCTTCGGGAATCTGCCCGCCCTTCGAATGCCGACGTCCGCACCTCGCTCCTCCGGCTAACGCAGGCCGCCCGCGTTCTTTGTCCCACCGGGGGTGGGGGGGGACACTTCTTGAGAGGGCGATGCAGTGCCCACGACGTGACCTGCCATGCAGCTCATCGGATACCTCCGGTCTAAATTAATATTCCGATTCTAATTGTGACCTCGGACAACGTCTGGCGAAGAGAGGAGCGCGGTTCGCTCCCTTCGTTGTTGTTGCTTATCTTTTATTGTTGTTAGCGGCGTGCTACCGTCTGCCCGCTAACCCCTGCCACTGCCGCGATCTGGTCGTTTGCAGGAAAGAGTGCTTTGTAGCTCATCGGATTTCTGCAGTACAAATACAAATTCTGATTCGGCAGTATTGGCGCTAAGTTCAAGCAGCCCCCACCGTGTGCGGCGTTTTCCACGGCCGTCGGAAGTCGGGCCGTGCCAGTCCTGGAACGGCCCCTTGCTGCTCCTGCGTTCAAACCCCCCACGGCGAGAGGGAATCGACCGTAGTACATTTTTTACGAGTTTAAAAGTACGCTTGGGTTGGATTGCGCTGTCCCAAGGTGTATCAACTTTTATGTCGTAATAATCAAAAACGCAGCCCAGGTGTTGACTGCGGCGTTAGATGATGATGACGACGATGATGAGAATCCCGACGATGATGACGACGATCACATCGTTCCTCGTGACATCGCCTATCTGCTTCCGACGGGCCGCCTGATATTAAAGCCCCAGCAGCTCGGACTGCAAACGGAGAGCCGTGTGTGTTAGTGCGGTGCCAAGGACCAGCGCGTGAACGGGCGTTGAGCCCCCCCCCTCACCCCCCGGTTCACTCCGAGTGATCGTCTGATGGATGCGACGTTGAGAGTATCCACGTCGCTCATCATGGTGGGGGGAACGGAGAGCGGGGAGCCAGCAAGCGGCGCCTGCTGGGACTGTGGCCTCACAAAGTTCGGTTCGTTCCACTGGAATAGTGGGGGGTCCTGTATTTGGGAAATTTCGTATGGAAATAAATTATTTTGGATTTAGGAAAAGTCCACGTGGGCAGCTGACTTACCCATCCGTCTGTCGCTGCTGCGTCGGTTTTCACGGTCGCGCTGCTCCGTTGCGGTCACAATGCGTTTTCGATGTCCGACGTTTCTCTGTACATGCTTGTAAACATAACGTGGACTGGTGGAACATTGTGGGTGGGGGGCTAGGTGGCAGCTATCACCCCCAATTTTCTGAATAGGGGTAAGCAATTGACTCTAACCCCCAACTAGTACTGAATGGCAGTGCGTCTTATCAGCAAGCAATCCGTGGAACCGTTTGATACATTTTTAGTCTTGCCAGCAGCAGAGTCGGTTGTTGCTTGAACCAACCAACTCTGACATTTCTGAAGCGTCCTTCTTCCCAACGTCCCGGCTGTGGGTCCACATAATTCTGTGTGGCGGGTGGGGGAGGGGGGGGTAGTGGGAGGGGGGTGAGGGGACGTTAGGGGTAGGGGGGGAAGGCGGTCGTCGCCAAGTTGGGAGTGAGGGAGGGGAGCGGGCGAAGACGCCGACAGACATCTGGGCCCGACATTAGCGCTCGCGTTCTCACAAGGCGGCTTGTGTCCGCCCAACGTTATTATCTTATCGAGGCTAAGGAGTTTTCAAGGTCTCCCCCACCCCTTTTCCTTATGAATCGTTTAGCTGTTTGGGCCGCTTGTCAAAGCGACGGCGTTTGTCCGACGCCAAACGGTCGTTTTCGAAATCCGGACGCGGATTCGGGGTCGGGCACTCCGCTTCGGGGCGGGGATTCTCGACTACACCGGCGGGGGGGGGGGGAACTATCCGGATCGCGACCCTTGTACGACCGTGCATGTTCTCTTCCCCCCCCCCCCACCCCCCTTTTCCCTCCCCACGGGTGTCAGAGAAACGCACTCGCAGCACCGAGTCTGTCTGGACGCCGCTCGGCAGGAAGCGGAGAGGGCTGCTATTTTATTAATGGCAACGTCTGAAGGAGATAAATTGGTCGAAATGTTTTTGTTGGGGCTGAGCGAGCGCGCACGTGTGCGTCTGGTTGTGCCGAGCCGGCCGAGCGAGCGCAAGGGGGGGGGAACGTGCATTTTGAGTATCGGCGGGAAAAAAAAAAAAAACGCTTGTGGTTCTAAAAAAAGATATGAAGAAAAATAATTAAATATCGTTTTTTTTTTTGCCCTCATACGCGTGAACCGGAGGTTGCTCGAAGGATTCGCCGAGCGGTAGTTCTGCGATATCCGCTTCTCGAACGCGAAAGGGTCGCGCAGTTGCTCCGTGAATAAGTTGGGGATTGATGACGAAGTTAAGTTACGAACAATTAAAATATTTTGCCCCCCTTCGTCAAACGGTGATCTCCGGGTGACCCTGACGACCCTAATTTGAAACTCGCTTTAATTATCGGCCCGGTTACGTCGGCGATGAGACCATTGGCGTCCGTTGTTTAACCGTTCGCTCAAGCCTGATTTTAACAAGAAATATTTACGCGTAGTCGGGGGCGCTGCTGTTGCGACCTGCTTACTCTGGCAAGCACTTTGCACGCAACACAAAACACGCGCGAACGTTGTTCGCGTTGATTGCGTAGAGCAGTTTGAATATTTATATCACGGTTATGTAAGCACGCTTTTTTTGTTTTGTTAATACGGCATCATCACTCGCGCACGCCCGGAATTCGTAACTCGTACGGATTCCTCGCGTGGGGGGTGGGGTTGGGCGGTGGGCGTTAAGGCAGCCAGAACCAAGAAGCACCGACAATTTTCTTCCAAACTCCAGTCCTAGAGTCCTACATCGCGACGTTTTTCTTTCTTTCTACCGCCGCTCACAAAACCCACTCGTTGCCCTTTGTCCCCTCCGCTCCCCCCCCCTCCCCTCTTTGTTCAGGCGGCGGCCTCCTCAAGTACTGCAACCTGCTGGTGCGCGACTTCCAGCCGGCGTGCGAGCAGGAGATCAAGACCCTGGAGAGATACATGTGCTCGCGCTTTTTCATCGACTTCCCCGACATCTCGGAGCAGGAGCGCAAGCTCGAGTCGTACCTGCAGAACCACTTCCTGGGCGAGGAGGGCAGCAAGTACGACTACCTGCTCACGCTGTGGGGCGTGGTGAACGAGAGCACCGTCTGCCTGATGGGGCACGAGCGCCGGCTCACCCTGGGCCTCATCACGTCGATGGCCTTCCGCGTCCTCGCCGAGCAGAACGTCATCCCCAACACGGCCAACGTCACCTGCTACTACCAGCCGGCACCCTACGCCAGCGACTTTAACTTCAGCGGCTACTACCTGCCGCCGCCGCCGCAGCACGCGCTCGCCTACGTGCCGTCGTACCACCAGCACCACCACCAGCAGCAGCACCACCAGCACCAGCAGCACCAGCAGCACCACCACCAGCAGACGTGGCTGCCCTGCAGCTAACGCAGCCGGCGATGCCCCCACCGTGATGCCCGCCCACCTGCCCGCCCGTCTGCCCCGCCAACCTCGCTGATTGATGACGGACCGCAGCAATTACCCCCCCCCTCCCTTCCTCCCCCAGGACCAATGCCGTGATACCACGCGGTCTTTTATTTTATTTTCGATTTTCCTTCCCCTTGCCTACCCCGCCCCCCCCCCCCCGATTTCCTGATTCTACACCCCCCCCAACCCCCCTCCTCCACTGCCACTCCATAGGTGCCTGTGCAACAAGCTGCTGTCTCTCCGCGCCGTGTTTGTGGTGGTCGTTGCTGTTGGTTTCTCTCTTCCATTTTACGTCTCTCGGTAAGACGGGCAAAGCAGCAGCAGCAGAGGCGGCAGCGGCATTAAGAACTGTGCGCGTTTGGCAGCACGAGCCCCCCCCCCCACTCCCCTTCATTGAACCGAGATTGCAGAACTGCATGCACGGAGACTTGCACGCCCACACACACGCACACGCAAATGAGTGAAGAGTGACGAAGAGGAGGTTGAGCAAGAGAAGATACTGGGTGGTTTTGCCCGCCGCGCTGCTTTCCACGTGTGTACATATGTAATCCAAGGCTCGCGACGCTTGTGCCAGAAAAACTTCCGCGGGCAAGTTGCGGACGTTAACCGTTTAGCGCTGGTGGAAGTAAAAAAAAAAACTAAACTAAAACACACAAAAAAATGGAACTCGAGACTTGCACGCAAGATGTTTTGCGACCTCTCTTCGGGGGAACTCTCCCGACGGGAAGAAATTATACGCGCAAAGAAGATGAAGAAGAAGAAGAAAATACAACAACAAAAAAACCGGGACACGCGTTGTGAACGGGGAAAAAAATTTCATAAAAATTTTAATAAACGCTAAAAAAAATAAAAAAACCCAAGAGAAAAAGACTGAAAAGGAAAATATTGGCGGGGCAGCCGTGCGTGGCGAGCGCGACTGCCTGTCGCAGGTTGACTGCTAACGCGTCGTCTAGCTGATTAACCACAAAAAAAATATTACCGATTTACAAAGCGCTATATTTTTTGGGGGTGGGGGGCCGGGTCCGCATTTAAAACACGAGCCCAACGTGGACACCCGACGCTTCCAGAGTTACGTAGGGGCACGCGCGCGTGGGGTGAAATGGGGAAAGCAAGAGCGAGCGAACGCCCCGGGGATGCCACTGATTTTTTTTTAACACCCCCCTCCCCCCACATCGCGCGACGGTCAACCTTCACGCCGCGGGGCAAACCGAAATAATTCCTCCCCCAACTGCACGCAACGAACGAGTGACAACGGGACGCCTCCCACCCACCCCCTTCCCCGTTGTCCCTCCGTGCTTGGCCTGTGACCACTGCCGACCCAACCGTGGCACGTACACCGCTTTCTCGGCCTCGTCTGATGCCAAGCCCGGTGACGGAACGGACGCGTTTATCAACTCTCTGCGTCGCCGCGCGGTTGCGTTCGGTCGCTGGGCACGCAGGGACATGTGGGACAAGAGTCCGTGCCTTCCCGCTGTTTGCGAGCAAGCCGTGTGCGTGGGTTAGTCCGAGAGCCCGGACCAGAAGTTTTCACTTTTGTCGGTAGCAGCTGAGGTGGCGTCACTTTAGCGGTTCCACGTTCTTTACGCGGCCAATTACGCGATCGCCATTCCATTTCAAGCGTGCGAGTGGGTTATCGAGTTCATTTAACTCTCGTTAGCCTACATAAATAACTCCGTATGGACTTAACTAGAGTGCTGCCACCTTAGCCAGTACAAATTCTACTCTGGCCCGTGACACCGAATGATGTCGTCATTTCTGCGCGTTTCCAGCCTGCTTTTTGTCGCGTTTTTCCTGGCACGGGCGTTCTCTGCAAAGTCCATTTGCGTTCGACCGCAACGTTTCCTTGCAAACGCCTTCGGTGGGGCAGGTGGGGCAGGAACGTGTGTGTCGGTGCGTCCGTTTGCGGCGGTGCCATCGTCCTCGCCAGCGCTACCGGCAGCGCCGACGCCGCTACCGCCCGTAGCTGCGGTTTGAGTGCCGTTAAAGGGATGCATACAAATTGACCTCTCATCTGTGCAATTTTGAAAACTCTTTGAATCTTTAGTTTGCACTTGTTTCGGAGTTGGGAGATCGAATCCCAAACATAGTGTTTTCCCCCATTCTCCCCCCTACACCTTCCCTTTCATTTGTTATTGTCGCTTGTTGTTGTTTTTTTGCGTAATTGTGTTCTCTTAGGTAATTTACACAAGTGCTTGCGTTGAACGTGTACGGTAATGCCGTTGGTTTTTGAGTAGCTGAGCGACTCGAAGCCGTAACTGGAGGGTGAGGGGGAAGGCCGAGGTTGGATGTATCCATGCCCCCTTCCCCCCCCCCCCCATTGGCACATCTCAGAGCCGTGCTGGGGCCCAGGCTTGCGCCACTCGGGAGAGGCTCCAGACCCTGCGTCCCGAGTCCAATTCAAAATATCACGACGGTGCATGCACGTGTCGCAGTTTGGTTTCCGGGCTCGGCTTGGCCAGTAACCATTCGTGCTGGCTTGGCTCTGATGTTCCAGTGGGGGTGGGGGAGGGGAGAGGGATCAAGATGTGTGGCAGAGAATGAGACCTAAAATGAAGGTGGCAATTTTTAAGGAACAGCAAAGTTGGCCATGGAATTGTTTCGGGTTTTTCCAATCCCCCGCGTGGTTGGGTCAAATGAGTGGACAACCGTTGCCAAACCTCGCCTAGAGTTCCACCGCAGGAAAAATCGCAGAATCCCTCGAAATGATCCAGTTAAAAAGTCTTACTCCCTCACGCGCTCACCCCCAGAAGTGTTCAGATCCTTCCATGTTTGAGAGGGAAAGATCAATTGCAATCCATTATACTTTTTTTTGCGAGTGATATTTACCGTGCAATTTAGCGTTAAGACGAGAGAAAAAAAGCCCTACATAGATACAGTATAAATATATGTTTACAAAACAAATCGCGTCAAGGTTCTATCAATCGGAGTAAAACAGGTCCGAAGAGATGATGACCATGACGACGATAATGATGGTGGTGGTGGTGATGCCCATGATTTATTGTGAGTAGGGACGAAAAATTGGACTTTGAGGAAAATGTTGACGGGAGCGCGGTGCATCTTGGGAAGAGACGATGGCTGTAGGGCACCGCTGCTGGATGGTTCTGTCAACGCTGTCAAAAAGAATAAAATAAAACCATCGCGGCGGTCAAACGTCAAACGGGATGTAACGATGCACCGATTTGGTCGCGTTTTTTTCGTAACGTTTTTTTTGAGTTCGCAAATTCGTGCGTGCGTGGGAACCTGATGTTGCAGCCGCCCCGAACTCGTCGCCACTACGAAATTGAGCTTTGCGTGACCCCCTGCCCAGCCACTTGGGGCCCACTACAAAACTCACGATGTTCAGGACTTGAGCGAATCGCGACGAACGATCGAATCGCGGTTTCTGACCGCTGGTGGTGGCATCAGTGGTGGCATCGGTGGTGGCATCGGTGGTGGCGCTGGTGGTGGCACTGGTGGTGGCGGGTACTGGTGGTGTGCGGCTCGTAAACTTGCCATGCGCAGCACTTGAGGTGCTACAATACTTTTGGGCATTATGTTTATGATGATGTTGTTTTAGATTTTATTTTAACTTAGCCTAAGGTGGGGATTTTCTTTTTAAAAATATATACGCGGGAAAAAAAATTATAGAGGAAGGGCAAAAAAAAATATCCGTGCTGCCGATGGTCCGACAATAAGCTATATATGGTAGAATATATTCCAGACACTGAAGAGAGAGAGAGAGGGAAAAAAACAGGAAAAAATATATATAAATATATAAACCGAAAAAAATGTCTACGAGCGCGTTCGTTTTTGAGTTGACGGATTGCAGAGAAGAAATATTACGGGGCCCACGATTCGCTCGCGCGCCTTCGCGATGGCGAATGACTAAGGTGTCCATCGATTGCGATGATTCACGATGGTGGGGGCGGGAGGGGGGGGGGTCGAATGGGTGACGTCCGATGGTCGAGGACCCCCCCCTCACCCCCCCTCGCCCCCCCCACCCCTCACCAACCCACCCCCCCCACCCCCCCGCACGCGCTGTGCGTTTATTTTCAAACCGGGCGATTTGTAGCAAAACGGTCCCCACGACGCGAAGGAATCGCGTGCGGGGGGCAAACCCAACCACCCACACACCCCCCTACACACCACCCCACCCCACACTAACCCCCACACACACACCCCAACACCCCCCCCCCCCACTTCCTTATCTCAGTCTTTCGGCGACTTCTCAGTGCATGCGATAGTGATGATGAACATGCCTGGTAGTCTGTGGACTGCGTGTGTGTGTGTGTGGTCAACTGTGCGGTGTGTCAACTGTGCGTTGTGCGTGCGGTGGTGTAGCGGTTAGCGCGCTGCGCTTTACGAGCATTGGCAACCCGGAGTCCCCCCCCCCCCCCCCCCGATTCCCGCTCGCGGCCGAACCACTGGTGACGATTATCTGGAACCGGTCGTGGGCATCCACCTAGGTCGACTCCGCCTCAAATGAGTGCCTGGTGCGATGCGTAAACATCGCAACTGGGGAGACAAAGGCGGCCGACGCGTGGTGTGGCCATCCCACCCCTCGTGTGCCGTGCCGCCCATTTATAGTGCTCGCTACAGCACTTGCCCCTACAGTCGTAAGGCTATACGGGGGGATCTTTGTCTTTTCTTTTGTGCGGGGTGCGTGCCTCGTGCCACTCGCTCTGTCCGCTTCCTCCTCCCTCAGCGCCCCCTCGTCCCCAACGGTTACACACGCGGCGAGGGATGATGTCGAGTTCGATCGTAAAGACACACAAAAAAAGAAATATATTTTGTTATATCAAGACTTTGCCTCGGAGACATTTAGTGAACGTGTAGCGGATTTCATTGTTCTCCCCCCCCCCCCCGTTGATCCAAAGTTGTTGAGGACGTGAAGAAAGATCTGTTCCAAAGTATGAAAACAAAAATAGGAAGAGTTTTTTTTTAACCCTTTTCTGGCAATAAAACGGCTGTTAAGATGTTCAAACCACCCCTTTGCAAGGCATCGACATCTCAACGCGTGTTTTTATTGCCAAAAAGGGGTGTAAAAAAAACCGCTTGTTCTTTTTTTATTTTCATACTTTTGATACTGGCAACAACAACAAAAAAGTGTCCCTTTTTTCAAGATCGGGCCCTCCCCGCAGAGTTTGTGCGCGGCTGCCCCCCCCCCAACCGCTCCATTTGCCACCGGGACATGTTAACGCCGTGAACCCCGCTGCCTCAGTTCAATGCACTGGCTTTGCTTCCAAGCATTTATTACCACCACCACCACCGTTCCTCACCCTCCGCTCCGTACACTCCTCCTCCTGAAGACCGGTGGAAGAAAACATGTACCGTGCTAATCGGATGTGCGGGGGTTACGAGACAACAAACAACCACGAAAAAACTAATTTCTTTAATTGCAATCTAGATGAGTTAAGATTGCATCGTGTAGCTCCAGTGGCTTCCTAATATCGGGAAGGGAAGAACGTTCCAGACGGCCGCAGAAGCGCGTCTGAAAGCGTCGCGCGCTGCGGTGACCACCGTCTATGGTTCGGTCTGTCAGGGCCCCCCCTCCCAGCCTGCCCCCCCTCCCAGCCTGCTCCCCACCAGCCTGCCCCCCCCCCCACCAGTCTGCCCCCCACTGAAAATCGTGAATAGCCGCCACCATGATTGGTCAACAGAGACGTCCACTCTTGTACGTTGTGCAGGCCCGTGTGAGTGTACAACACTTTCAACGTTTTTGTTTTTTTGTGGGGTGACTCTATTTTTGTTTATTGATGTTGTCTGAATGTAAGATTCTAAGGACCAAAGAAACGGCGCGAGAGGGGGGGGCTGTCGTTTCCCGCATGGGTTTTGTCTGGGGGGTTGGGAGGGGGGGTGCCGTTTGGGGGCTGGGGGCGGGGGGGGCCCATGTGTGTCTAATTTTGTTGTATACATATACTGTAAGTGCCTGATCACATGACCATTTCATTAAACTCCTCTTTTGGGTCCACTTTAACATCGCTTGTCTCTTTTATTGTTATTGGTATATTTTAAAAACGCGCGTTAACTCGAGCACAGGGCTCTGCAACCCCTCCCAAAAAGCGAGAAGAACCCACGTTTATTTCGAATTCTGTAATTAAAAAAATATATTTTATGGTTCTTTTCGGTAAAGCCACGTAGATCGAAAAAATAACGATAAAATAATAAAAATAAAG